CAGTTGTAGTTCCGTTATTGAAATTTTTAATTCGTTCAGTTTTAGTAACGCAGAAAATCCTAATATTTGGATTAAATATGACCACAATTTATAGAAATGTTTGAAAATCCGGGAAAACTGGGTAACATTATACTAAATCTTGTTAACTCTAAGTATTTACTAATACATTTTCGGTAAGACTACGCATAAATATACGCATAAAAAAGCTAATTGCAGGAAAATTGTTCTACTACCAATAGTACAGAAAAATCAGTTCGATTTCATGCTTTATTGGAACTACGCTCTTCAAGTGTCTTGAATAAGAAATACACTCAAAAGTAATTGTTGTTCTGCACATTTATAAAAATCCAGGTTAATTAGTATTGTCAGATAACAATGTTTCTTTAAATATATGTTTCTCAAAATACATATAAGAAACACCTATACGGAAAACTCGCAATTACAGTTGCACAAAAACTCACAAATAAACTGAATTCCATCAACCTCAAGAGCAAACTCTCGAAAACAGGAACACAAGCCATCAAACATCTAATCAGACCTGAAACAACACAACTCCTACTCCACATTTCCCACAAATAAATAAACCTAAAGAAAAACCTTTTCACAGAGGAAGAGCTCTAACAAGATGAGCTCTGAAAGTTGGTACTACTTTACTCTACGTAATAAAATTAAATGAAGAGACCTTTGTTGACGAAAGTATATCTTTCGTTAGCTTTTGTCTTCCTAATCTAAATAAAGAGAACTCCACGTGCCCGTGAAACAGAAGGTATCTTTTAAATTACAAAGGAATATTGTAATTGGCTTACAGAAATTCGAAGCTCCTTTTGAATCCGTGTTAAGTATTTCTGCTCGTTAGTGCAGGTTCGGTGCAAATACCTCGATATCCTTTGTAATTTATTCGGGTGATACGCCAGAGGGAAGCAATATTTTCTTCTATTATGCTATAAATTTTGGAATTTTTCACTTTAATGTTAAAAGTTGTTAATTTATATTGAGATGCTTAAAGAATTTGTATACTTCAAATGAATGTTTTATCGAAACTCGAATGCATTATTTGTTTATTAAATTCATTAAAGTAATGTGTTTTCTGTCACAAAATACGATCAGTTTTGTTTTGATTTTAAATGCTATTTTAATTATAGCAGTTTCTTTTTATATTATTTAGAAACTCAAAGTGATTAATGTAATAAGTGCAGATATCATGTCAGAGATAAAGACATTTTAAGAAATAAACTTATTGAAGCGGGTTTTCTTAATAACAAAATTAGCTATATCCCATCATTCCCATTATTTTATATGACATACTTTATCAAGTATGCATTCTGCAGTTGTGGTTGTGACTTATCTGACTTGTCTGACAGTATCATCATAAAAGCACACGAAATTCACGTGGCAAGGGGTTTGCCTGTCGTTGACAATAGCCTTGAGCACCATACAGGATACAGGTGACAGTATGACGTTGCTCATCTCTGCCGCCAAATTTTGGAGGAGAGTTCTCCGGGAAGGTGAGTCTCCTATTCCTCACGCCCCTACCAGTAACTTCTCTTGAGGGCTTTCGTCTCGCAAATATATTATTCAAACTTATTATCTCAAGCCCAGAAAATCAGTGCTATGTTTGTTTCATCTTCTATATGTGAACAAGTATTTTCAACTATGAACCTTAGAAAAAATTATTTCAGAAGTAGACTGAGAGATGAGCATTTAGCCTCCTTCCTTAGAATCAGTGCATCTCACTTCGAACTTCAATATGAGGAACTTTGAAATGAAATCACAATTTCATTCCTCTCATTAACATATTTAAATCGTAATAGTTGTGTATTGTTTTTAAAATTTTAGAAAATTTATCTTGGCACGTCAAACTTTTTTTCTTCGATTTTTGGCCCTCGACCAAAATCTTTTGCACATCCCTGACCTAGACGATGGGAAATCCCATAAATACATGGTCCGAAACGCTTTCTTGCCGCAGGTAGTAAAGGCACAAAAAGCAAAAAAGGAAGGACACGGACAGTGAGACAAAACATTTTTTATTATGTTTAGTACAGCAGAAACCTACAAATAAGAACAAAAACAATGATCGTCTTTAAAGAAGGTGTTCAAAATTATGATTCCGGACCGTGATGCACGCCTCGCATCTCGGCATGGAAGATCTGCATCACGAATGGAAGATGCATGACTCGCAGTTCCTGCATCACGGACTGGATCGTAATTTCGAACACATTCTTTGATGATGATTGTTGATCTTTATGCTGTTTTTCTTTGTTTATGTTGTACTCCGAATAATAAACATGTTTTTTCAACCCGTTCGTGACCTTTCTTTCTTGAATTTTGTGTCGTTACTACGCGCCAGGAAAACGTTTCCGACTACGCTTTCTCTAAGTGATTTCCCATAGTCTAGGTGTACTCTACCTCTCCTGAAAGTTTGTTATCGCTGTACTATATTTCAAAATCGTCTCTTTTTAAAGAGAGGCCCACCAGCGGCCAGCGGTAAAGTCGCTAAACACTGGTAGTTCGGTCCGAGGTTCGAATCCCGTGAACGTGCAGGCTGCACGGTCGTTTTCGTGGTTTTCCTTATGTGTATCGTATATACGAGCCAGTTTCTCTTAGAAAGTCCTCCACAAGGGCATCTGTGGTAATGATTATTTTCGTTGGTTGTGGTGGCAAACGTATATGTCACATAAAATGATAAACAGGAATATAGTGGCAACTTACCCCAGGACAAGATACATGTCTATAGCCCGCCGTGACGAGAGAGTGACAAACACGTGAAAACAGATTTAATTCTTGCTTTATTGGACACCAACAATACTGAAGAGATATTCCTTTTTTTTGTAATCCGGTATGTCACATGACGATATGAGGCCTCCTCACTCAGAACAAAAAAAGATAGATCAATTCTTCCACACAGCCCCTCGAAGACTTGGTGTATTTCAGCTCACACACATGCAGGTACTCTTCATCGGGATGCCGGGCGAAAATGACAAGCCCGGGAAAAAAGGAGATTAGCTTAAATTTTGCAGCTACAACATCAAAGAGAAAGAAAATCACTTCCTTCATACACACTGGGAGACCAAAGAAAGCTTGCACGATAAACTCCCACAAGTTTGCATTTTTACTCCACTCTTACTGTCTTTCTCTATGCAGCATCTCCATCTCGCACCTTCACAATCTCCTCCTTCTCCTCCCTCCTGGTAGACAAAAATTACCGCCTTTTTATAAAGTTCCACAGTTAAGTTTTGCCGCCCAATGAAAAAAGATCCAGCGTCAGAAGGCAACCAATCGCAAAATACCTTCAGCTACCCAGGCAAACAGAAGTGAAGACGCTAGTTGTCTGACGCAATACTTTCCTCCGCTTACAACAGTTGTCTGATGCAATACTTTCCTCCGCTTACAACAGTTGTCTGATGAAATCTGTTCCTCACCTTACAACACAAGTTGGCGAAAAAAATGAAACTGTCACCAAAGGAATCTGATGCAAATATCTAAATATTGCCATAACGTAGTAAATAATTAATTCAATGTGACCTCGTCACATATCCACCCCTCCTTCGGAAAAAAAAAGGGTAAAAAAAAAATTCCTATGTACACGAAGAACATTCCTAGTGTTAAGAGGGAGCCTCATATCAACACATGCCAATTCATGTGAAAGTGCTGGTTAAAAATACATATATTACACACAAATTGCTATTTTACATAATAAATAAAAAGTACATAGTATACAAATGCCAGACAAATAACATAATCAAATGCGCTATATAAATAAACATACAATTTCTAACATATTAAAACATGGAGATCACTTGGTTAAATTGCTATCGTTTAACACCAAAGTATATGGATAATTGTGCAAAGAATCCAATTTTACACTGTTGGCACAGATGATTAAAGTTCAATTGATAGTCTTCTGTGCATCACGCACAGTAATGGAAGCATTCATTTTAAAAGTCCATGAAAAATATTAGAGTCCATAATATCAAAAAGTCTATAAATTTAGCATAATTACCGTACTGAGTATTCAGGCACAGTCTCTAACACGTGTACTCAGTAATAAGTGATATAATCATTGCACATTCACATAATTTGTCCAAAATATTGAAGAACTAGGCACATAATTGATAATAAGTGTGCGTTTAAATAAGTACACAGTCCATAAAAAGTAGTCGAGATGTCAAACAATTTGAACATTGTTCATATAGTTCATAACCTACATTCTGTTCTATTTGCACAGAATTCAGCATTTAAGAGGATATATGGATACACAAACACAGAAATATCATATGTAAACAAAGTTAACTTGCAAGACATAAGACAGTTGTGGTGGTAAATGCATTAACAGTGAGTCCTCAAAGGCAGAGTAAATAGAATATCATGACATACAATACTTCTCATGCTATACAACAAACAAAATTCACATACCAACTTTTGATGCAAAACATGTTTCATGCTATAAATATGTAGTATAACACATACAGTTTCAAGATAAAAGTAGGGCGTATAAAATCTCATGGTGACTAAAGATTAGAGAACCGTTACAATAAAATAAGAAAACATTCTTATGATGAAAGCAAAATTGCAATTTTTACATACTCCTAGTTACACTTAATAAATAGCATTTATGATGACAAAATATTATAAGACAACTATAATCACATCATACAGAGAGATTTTGAAAAATAAAACACCTTTAATCATTTTGGCAAGTGCTCGAATATGTTACTTGATATTGAAACAACACAAAATGGTCCAGAAAATCTGGGTTTAAAGGTATCCTTGTTGATACACTAATCAATATTGAATAATCGTATGGCAATTGATATTTAAGGGTGATCAAGCCTTAAACTACTAATGATTATGCCTGCACAATCATAAGAATTCAACAAAAGAGGCGCAACAGAATAAATTTGGTACAATTAGATATAAACACACTACTTAACAATATACATAACTTTTTCATATATATCAACATTCTCCAATACACTACTATGTTAAGACGAGAAGAAAATTTAAACGTGCTGTCTTTTTCTTAGATTATACTGATGTGTAACTTGAGGAGCAGGAGGTGGATTTTGAACTAAGTGAGAGAATCGTTTTGGAGCTAAACGAAGGCGATTGATGTGAATTTTGAATGGTTGAGCAAACTCATTGTCAAGTGCTCGAATAGTGTAGTTTACATCACTTGATTTTGAAACAATACAGAATGGTCCAGAAAATCTGGGTTTAAATGTATCCTTAGATTTCAGATACACTACGTCATCAATACTGAATGATCTTAATTTGGCATTTTTCAGTTGACGAGTATTTTGTTCTACTTGTTTTCGCTCAAGCGTCTCATAGGCATGTTCATAAGTTAATTTCAGCTGCGTTAGAAGATCACACAAATAATGGGATTTATCCAATTGAGCTGGCCTTGGATCAGGATGAAATGTATCAAAAAGTAAAGATAAGTTTCTTCCAAAATGCAAAATATTAGGAGAATAGCCTGTTGAAGGATGAATAGTACCATTGTAAATATTCTGATGGATTAACAATGCATTTTGAAATGAAACACCTTTTTCATGAAGGGTAAGTAAAGAAGTTTTGATTGAAGTATTAACTCGTTCACTTTGTGCATTGCATTCCGGTCTCTGAGGAGTACAATGAGATAATTTAATACCTAATGATTTTGTAATTGATTCAAACACTAATGAAGTGAATTGTGTGCCCAAATCTCTCAAGATCATTTCCGGTCGTCCATGTACAGATATATATATTGTAATAAATGCCCTGTAATAGTTTCAGCAGTGAAATTTTTAAGTGGATATAAAGCAAGATGCTTAGAAAAATGATCTGAAACAGTAAGAACATGGCCACAATTCCTTATAGGACCGACAATATCCATGGAAATAAAGTCATTTGGGTACTTAGGTATTCTGATGGCTTTATATGGTGCTTTTTAGGAGTGAACGACTTATATTTGTTGCATAAATGACACGAGAGGACAAAGTTCTTTGTGTCGTTATACATGCCCTTCCAAAAGTAACGTTTCGATAAAATCTCATAAGTCTTTTGCACCCCAAGATGGGATATATGGGAAATTTCTAACACTTTAGATTTCAAGTGCTTGTGGAACAACAATTAACTCAGCATTATTTTGTTTGTTTGAAATAAACATAAGAAGCTTGCTTGACTCATTAATGAAGAAATTATGTACCTTTGCAGCATTAAGCAAGGAAGGATTTTTCAAAATTGTGATAATTTCTGAAGTAAAAGGATCCGAACTTTGCTCAGCAAGAAACGTTGACTCAGAAATTTCATGAGCAGGATCTCCAGAAGAAACCAGGGCATTCACTTGGGGTCGTTCAAGATTTGTTTCAACAAACGGAAGAATAACTGAGTTATCTTCAGAGTTTTCAGCCAACACTGGCTGATTATGATCAGGATCTTGCATACGTGACATGTAATCAGCTAGAGAATTTAATTTTCCAGGAATGTGCTTAAATTCAAAAGTATATTCACTTAACTCCATAAGCCACCTAGTCGTGTTGTCAGCAGGTGACGTAGATTTTTGATAATGCAACAGAGGTTTACTATCAGTCAAAATTGTAAACTTTCGATTATATAAATATGATTTGAAAGCAGTAACAGACCGATAAATGGCATAAAGTTCCAATTTTATAGCTGGGTATTTTCTTTCAGATGGTGACAATGTTCGACTATAATATGATACAGGATGCAATTCATTGTTTTGTGCTCCTGCAGTAGAACTCCCGAAATAGCATGACCACTGGCATCAGTATTCAGTATAAATTCCTTGTCCCATTGTGGTAAGATAACAAAAGGTTCAGAAAAGAATATATGCTGAAGTTTCTCAAATGCAACGCTATGCGCATCAGTCCATTTAAATTTATTCTTCTTACTGGTCAATTGTGTCAAAATATCAGTAAGTTCGGCATAATTTGGTATGAGATGCCTATAGAAACCACAAAGGCCTAGAAATTTTCTGACCTGGCGGACAGTCTTAGGTGGTTGAAAGTTAGTGATCTTAGCAATATTAGTTGAAATGGGTTTAATTAAGTTATGAGAGATGTGAAATCCTAAATAATCTATAGCTGTTTTGAAAAAGACACATTTTGTAGGAGACAGTGTTATGTTATACTTAGATAAAAGTTTCAATACTGCAGTCAACTTAGTCATCATATCATCAAAGTCAGAAGCACCTATTACAATATCATCCTGATATGCATGCACACCTACGATGCCGTCCATTTTTAGTTCATCAATAAGCGTATCCACTAAAGCTTGAAAAGTACTGGCGGCAGTCTTTAAGCCAAAAACTAGCCTTCTATTAGCAAAGGATCCAAAAGGTGTAGTAAATGTTAACACATCCTGCAAGTGATCGGGAAGTTTAATTTGCCAATAAGCATTTTTTAAGTCAAGTACTGAATAGTACTTGTAAGTGGAGATGTTGTTTATAAGCGTTGAAATCTTTGGAAGAGGATATGTTGAATGTTCAATAATAGAATTAAGCAATCTTAAATCAAGAGCCATGCGGTATTTGGGTGGATTATTAGGGTATTTGGGATCTGGCTTCTTTTTTACTAATAGCATGGGACAAGCCCATTCAGCAACATTTCGATGAATTAAACCAGCTTCCTGCAATTCCTGAAGATCTTCTTTAACTTGGGATTGCAATGAATAAGGAATTTCAAAAGGGAGGGTCCTAATGGGATTCGAAGACCTAAAACAAATTTGTGGGGTTACCCTATCAGTGCAGCCAAGTGATTTTAAAGATTTGGAAAAAGCTGCATAATTAGAGATTAACACATCCAATAAACACTGCCTTTGTTCAGGAGAAAGATGGTTAAGATCAAAGTCAGTTGGTAACAATTCTTGTTTCCTTATTTCTAAAACCTCTTTTGATGGAGTTATAAGATTGCAATACTCATTTTGAGGAGTATCCGAATTTACAGAATCAGGTATGGTCTCAGCAAATTCAATATCAGATGTGACTTGACCTAGCTTCTGATTTTTGTTTATATGAACATTGTTCGAACCAATATTTTTGATGACAGTAATGAAGGAATTGTCGTTTAGAGTGTGGATCGCAGGATGCAATTCAATATCGTGTTTACTTACAGTTGGTTGAAAAAGGACAGGTTGATTGTTAGCATGAGGACTATTGACTCTTAAGTGCGCAATTGTCGATTCTCCAGGATCTAACATAATTTTGTGTTTCAAAATTGCATAACATTCTGAAGGTACAGGATTACAATTATAATTTTTTACATTAGCCATATTAATTAGAGGTACATCAAAATTATTAAATTTTGCAACTGCACTTTTAGCACATATTAAGACATCATGTTTGGATAAAAAGTCATAACCTAAAATTCCATGAAAATTTTGTTGAAAAGCATCAGATACATAAAAGGCGTGTTTAAAATGCTGCTTGTTTATCTTAAATGATATTTCTGCACAGGCTGAAAAATGTAAATTGGAATTGATAGTTTTAATTTGAACATGTCTGGATAAAAATCTAACTTTAGTATCCAATCTTATTGTATCAAACACAGCTTTTGATAACAATGACACAGAACTTCCTGAATCAAGTAATAAAGTGCACAAATTTTTACCAAATGTTACATGAATCAAAGGAAGAGTACAATCAGAAAAGACATTATTTATATGCGCAATAGGTAAACAATTACTTTTACTTTTGACATGAAATTGTTGCAAAAACTCTTTGATAGAACTCGAGGGTTTACCACTGATTATCATTTGCTTATTTAAATATGTTTCAATACTCTCCGATTCTTTGCTCGTATGATAGTTGGTTTTTGGTGACTTGGTTGAAACATTAGAGGTCACATCGCCACCTACTTGTGAACTCCCCTTGCGTTTTAAAAGGGTACTCTATCTTGGCTGATTATAATAATTTGGTCTCCGACCATAAGATGGAAATCTGTTAACATTTGAGTTATCACCTTGTCGCGTACTATTGCTATAGAACTGTGGTCTAGTGAGATTAGGACGACTGCTAACATAGTTACTCGAACTTCTAACCTGGTTCTGACGAGGGCTACACATCGCCAAATACGCACGACATACTGACATTGAATGTCCAAATTTATGACAGTATAAGCATGGAAGTGGGTATGGAGGATATATGGGAGTTTCTTGCATCCAATTTACACAGTGGTCATTTGTATCTTGAGCATGTGTGGGATTACCTGTCTGTAAAGACAAAACAGCATTACATTGATTTAAGGGATGCTTATCTAAATTACACAAACTGACATTTTTCATTCTGTAATGCAATTTGAAGACTGAGGTTTTCAACTTGACTTTTTTTAAACTCTCAATAGCATCATTTTGCTATTCAAAGCAATGGAATGTGTTTGCATTATTTTCAAATTTTGCGAATTAGAATGATGTTGCTGAGCTAAATTCACAAGCTGATCAAAATTATCTGTAGATTCACTAATTAATTTTTCTTTGAGTTCTATTGGTAAAGCAGCTAGAAACTGCAAAGATTTTATTTGGTTTTAATGCTTTGCTATTTTGAACATGGTTGTATGTAGCATGAGCCAAAGTTTCAATGCGATGAGCAAGACTTTTCATTGACTCACCAGGTAACAGCTGAATGGTCTGGAAAGCAATTAAATTAGATGAAGAGTTAGAATCCTTTGAAAAGAAATTTATCAGTTTTTCACAAGCCTCGTCTAGGGAAGTCACATTTTGACAAGCAGGCGATTCTGCAAAGAACTGCTGTGCAGCACCAACAAGTTTACTTTTCAGATATAATAGTGCAACTTTATCATTCCAATTATTAAGAGTTTTATATTCTTTAATCTGGCTAGTGAACCAGCGAACGGTATCAGGATCACCAGAAAATGATGCAATATTAAATGTGAATGTTTTAGTTTCCATTTGTTCAGGAGATTGTTGTCGTGTCTTAGGCATACTCAATTAAACAAAATAACATTCTATGAAATGACACATATGATAAATATGCAAATTTTTGCCCAATAAAGGTATATACTATAAATCATATATATAATACAAATAAAAAAATTAATATCAAACAAATTTACCACTGCAGCATAAGACTTAAGTTAGACTTTGAATCACATTCAAGTTATTCATCTTAATCATTCAGTTAACTTTGAATCATTCATGTGATTAATACAATGTATATTCATCTTAAATACATTCAGTTAGACTTTGAATCATTCATGTGATTAATACAATCTATATTCACTTTAAATACATTCATAAATACAACTGCTTTAAATACAGTCTTAGAATAGATACAGTTCAATGCAACGTTAATGTAATTGCCACAGCACACGAAACGGTTTGGGACGCGGCACCAAGTGTGGTAATGATTATTTTCGTTGGTTGTGGTGGCAAAACGTATATGTCACATGTTATGATAAACAGGAATATAGTGGCAACTTACCCCAGGACAAGATCCAGGTCTATAGCCCGCCGTGACGAGAGAGTGACAAACACGTGAAAACTGATTTAATTCTTGCTTTATTGGATACCAACAATACTGAAGAGATATTCCTTTTTTTTTTTGTAATCCGGTATGTCACATGACGATATGAGGCCTCCTCACTCAGAACAAAAAAAAGATAGATCAATTCTTCCACACAGCCCCTCGAAGACTTGATGTATTTCAGCTCACACACATGCAGGTACTCTTCATCGGGATGCCGGGCGAAAATGTCCGGGA